ACAAGAGTGCGGCACAATACGGAACATCACGTGATTCAAGCTGGAACGACCAACTCAAATCCTCAGAACGAGTGGGTTTCCTCAGCATCTGTTTCGTATATGATTCCAGGTCCAATGCATTCGGCCTCTTCGAATGAACAAAGTAGATAAGGTTCACCCGATTGGCCGCCAGGTATAAGTGATCGCGGTAGCATTAGGCATATAACCGGCGTCGTCTAAATCAAGAAAGACCACACTAGAAGCTGAGATTTAAATACTTCTGTAATGACTGCGTACACCCGTCCATCCCCCGAGAAAATCCTTCTCCAAACAATCTTTCTGAGAACAGTCACGGAGGTTCGCCTTTTTTATTTGAATTGCACGATCTGTCACTTTTCGATGCATTATTCTCCTGCCTGTTTAAAAATTACTTGACATACGTTACGAAGTAAAGAGCAAATAACCAACCTCCGGTCCAAGTGTCTGGAACTGAACTTTCCGCCAACCTCAATAGGATTCCGACCGGCTTCCGATTTCTTGTGCCGTCGCTATCACGCCTTCACCACCACCATCGTGAGTGAGGATTTTGTGCCCTCGGTAGACAGAATGCTAGTTATCGAAATTTCAAAATATTCCGTTTGGATTGGCTGGCAAAAGCGCCTTAGCGACCCCACTCGATTAACTGCGCAGCCGTAAAGTACAGACAAGAGGTTAAAACGGCAACTACTCCAAGTCTCAACGGATATCGAAAAATTCGGTCATCTCATCGATAAGCATGCACCCTGTCACCCATCTGGCTTAACAACATCACTAACTGGATTAGTAACAAGGATATGCGTAGTCCTGAACTGCGGCATTGCGCGGAACCAGCATATTAAAGTTCCGGAGGTCAACCACATGGCAAGTTGGTGGGATCTGGATGAAGTGGACTGGTGTGAAAGACATAAGGCAAAAGCGGAGGAAATAGTAGAAACACTGTATTTATCCCATAACGTATCAGAAGTTAATTATTTTCATCGTGGTGGCATTAAATGACGCTACGATCCACGATTTTAGGGCCTTTCTCGTGACCGCAATAACACCTGAAATGTGATCCGTTCGCGTCTGCATCATAGATGTTGCCCCACCCACTTTGGCCCAATGCGTCGGTCTTTCAGTTACGACAGCAGCTGCTACAACCAGAACCACTTCCATGCAGACTAGGACGAATGAAGTTTGACCGGGGAGAAACCGATGCGATCCAGAACGCAGTGCCTTCACATTCACTGCCAGCCAAAGCTCGTTGACTTTCAAAAGTCGAATAAGACATATTTTGCAGTACATTTTGGCCTATTTCAGGATAAAAGTGTTCGCTCTCTCTCCCCCTTTCACTAGATATGTTAGTGTAAATCGTTGCACTTAGAGGGGCATTGTCTACGACATCACTGAGATAGGTTACATGGGACACTATCCCACAAGTATTCACACGTAAGCGTATAGACGCGCACACACCCTCCTTCCACTCCCCCAGAATAAGAGGCACCGACATGGATTTATGCAAGCGTACTTTTTATTGTCCTCGGAAGTAACGAACTCGGAGATCAGCCCACAGGAAGGATGCACTAAATTCGCTAATGCGAACTTAGCAGATGGTAAGTGTAGGGCGATCGAAAACTTACAGCGCGATTGATATCACCGAGACAGATCCACTGCTTCCCATCGTCTACCTGACGGTCCGTGACGGCCCACTTTGAATGATCCAGAGTTGAGTTGAAACTGACGCCTGCGCTCGAAGGCCACTCTAGATGCTCGGCATTCCTGACCTGTAAACCATCGGCAGGGGGGGGAGAGTGGTGGAGGCAGCAATGATAGAGAATCATCAACATAAACACTGGCAAAATGCGAGTGAAAGAACCAGGAGGGAAGAAAGCTTACCCACAAGTCTCCACTGCAGTCCGAGGGCAAATCGTTTCGGTCATGACGCCAGCATTCGGCTATCAGGGAGCTGTTTAGTTCTACAGCCATCAAATCTTTGTACAAATCTGAAGTGCGCAAGAAGAGAGTTGTGAAATTATTGATATTGAGGAGTATTCATGTCTCATGAATACTCGTTTTATACGCGATGTGCGAGGAGTTGCCGAGGGATTCCGACTGAGCGTAATAAATATTGCACATACTGTAAAGGCCCACGTCAGTTTAAAGCTGAGTATACAAAATTAAGTATCAAATAATTATTTCATTGTTCCGGATTTTGTATGGTACTTAAAAACTTACTCGAAATGGAAACAGGAGCAATTCAACCAAAGTCGAGCAAAGTGTTCAGAAACTGAAAACAAATGCCCCTTACGGCTCCGTCGTTCCAGTCAACTACAAATATCCTTCGTGATGGTATCATTCACAGTGAAGAGCCTCCAATAGTAAAGCACACAGAATTTAGGATTCGAGACAACTCACAGAATCAGTTAATAAAACTAAACCTGCTGTTATGTTCTAGGTTATTTTTGATACCTTCATATATTCCTGCATAGAGTCAAACTTCGAGCAAGTTATTCTTACATATTACTTACACGAATTTCTGCATCAAACATTTGAATCAAAAGTCAAGTTGCCCAGCGTATGTTTCTGTCGAGGGACTGGCGGACTGACAGTCAAACTGCAATGGCTTTTATGAAACGCCCACTCCATGGGATCCGAGTCAGGTATGGCGGCAAGCTTAGGGGAGGCTCTGGCTGCGCCAGCAACCTGCGCCCTCTCCCGCTCCGGTCTTTTTGCCTTGGTCATAACACCGGCCCAAAAAGGGGGGTAGGAGAGATTGCCCTAGCCGCAGTGCCAGTAATCACTATAATCCAATTCACGCGTAAATCACAGTGATTGCTCCCAGTCTGGTGTACAGCACGCGGTGAACAGAGCCAAAATCGGCAGTTGAATTGTTTTATGCATTCTAGCAAAGGGTCAAAACTCAATCAAGGTCTTCTTACATACAAGTTACACAGAAATCTGCATCACACATTTGCATCAGAACTAAAGTTGCATTTACCAAGTAATTTCGTGTATGCCTCGCCCAACTAGTCAAACTACGCTTAACGGAACATACACAAAAAGTGGGAAAACATGTCGATAGATGAGCGTCTAGCAGAACTAACCCTTTCCGAATTTACTCGACTTTGAAAAGTGCCGCATTCGCAGTCCGCCTCCAAGGGTAGTCAGGTTCACCGACTGGTTGACACTAGCGTTACGAGCTCCCTTGTGTTGGAACACCAATTGCAGAGCAGGAAAGCGAGAGGCGATGGAGTCAGGCAGATTAAAATTCTGGACGAGGGGGCGCGCAATTAGCAATTGATTTGCTGGAAAAAAAACACGCAAAATAAAAAACTAATAGAACGTGTGTGTAAGCCTTCAGAAATATAAAATAAAAATGTAGAATAGGCAAACAGGGTCGGTATTTTGCACACAAAAAAACTTTCACTGAAGAATAAATTACGAGTGCTCAAACCGTCTTGATGGCCTTTCTTGCACGGCTGGGGATATCATTCGTGATTTTGTCGTAGTGAATTCGTAGTGTTTTATTCAAGATTAAGTCAGCGTACTGCACCCGCAGAATGTTCTCAGATGACAGATGGCTGACTTTCGTTTCTTATCCATGCGCTCACTCCAGCATTTTCAACCGTACGGACGGATGCCTGGGTTCATACTGATTTTGGCCCCTTCATAGGACTCGAAAGGAAGAAAAGTCGCCTGTACGTTGTCTATTCAGCAGCAGCCTGGCCCGATGGTATTTGAAATTGTTCACTACTTCCAGTTGACAGCCAGTAACCGTAAGAAATGCTTTCTAGTCAGGAACACAATTCAAGAACTTGCGATATCGTAGCTTGGCGTTAGCAGAGTGGTACCGT